CTTAGAATGAATCCAAAAGATGCATGTAATTCCCGTTCAAAGTTTAAAAAATGATCGAAAAAGCAGTGTTTTCACATTTCATTGATTTTCTCGAAAACTATAATACTTAGAATGAATCCAAAAAATGCATATTAAAGCTGAATGTTTGGGGAATCCAGCAAGTATAGATACATTCCTGTACATAAAATGCAATGAAAAGTGAAGAATCCACTTTTCAAAAAAATCTTCATTTCATTTGACTTAAAAATACGAAATTACATTCCGAACAACCCAATATTATTATTAGCCGCAATAGAATTTACTTTTTACAAATCCTTCAATAATATTTGTTAAATTCTAAAAACAAATCCAAAATGGGCAAAGCTACTGATTTTTATTATAAGAATGTTATAACAATTTGTCTCAATTTCTTCGGAGCGTGTTTTTCGCCTATTCCCCAAAATTATGGTTCGATTTTGGATATTATAATATAATGATTGTTATGAACAGTTGGATTTTACTATTATTTCATTGGATTCCACTGTATTTATAAAAGCATACAAGTATCTTATTTATATGTATATGTGGTTGCATAAGTAATAAGGTAGGAAATAATTATGTAGTGGAAAGAGGTTTGTACCAGGAACCCGTATAAAATGACCGTACAACTAAGAAAAAAATAGTAATAAACAACCTTATGCGGAGGTATGTGTTAAACTTTCGCGTCTTCCTTTTCTCCTGATGGTTGTTAAACCATTTTGATCAGAACTTGGCTCAATCTAATTGTATATTACCTTTAATGGTAGAATTACAGAATTCCCTTTTTTTTTTAATTGTTTGGCGATGCAATTTAAACGAGAGACACAATCGCAAATTAAATGAAACCACTGAGAATCGCCTCTAATGAAGATGAATCGGATCGGTAATTATGCAGACACGTTTATAGGAATGTAATACATGTAAATGTATTTATTATATGTGTGTAATTCGTGTGGCAACAGCCGCGAGGCATCCGCTCATTAATCAAACGCGATTACGTCGACCACGCATTACAAACACACGCATCAGCATGTTTTGCAGTAAAGATGATGATGATGATGATGTTGTTGTTCATGATGATCGTCGGAGAGTTTTCGCAAAATTATTTTTCCCTTCTTCTACAACTTTAATTAATTGAATAACGCTCATCAATCGTGCGGGGAGAGGATGTACGTAATTATTAATCAATCGTGCAAATTACATTCTTTTTTGCAGCTCGTTGTAAACGGGAGGATTTACATTTTTGCAACGTTTCAATTGCGGCGCAGCCCACTTTGATTCATGAATAATAGGAAACGGTTTTAACACTTTGCGCCGCCGTTTCTGTCTGTGCGACTCTGAGCGTTCACATTTATCGATCGACTTTATCAAAGAAAAAAAAAACCCAAAACCGTTTGATAAGCATTCACATATTTCGGTTCGTATTTTTGCACAACTTTCCACGCAATTACTAATGTAATAAACATATACAACATGAAAAAGTGAAGGCAAAAATTCTATTATTCTTGGCACAATAGTGTGATACCTGGGAAATCGATAATTAATAATAATCATCGTGCACTTTAGCATTTATTTAACCTTTTAGATGTACGCACATAACACCTTATATAACAAAGCTAATGAAACAATGCTAAATTCAAACTTTATTTGCGTAGCGGTTCTAATCGTCAGGTGATCATCATCGGTAAATACGTACAAAAAAAATCGATCGATCGAAATATGTGACACCTGTAATAAAATTATATTTAGCGGAGATGCGAACAGCTGCCGCTCGAAATGAAATGTCCAGATGCCCGTCTCTATTTGGATAACAGCGGTACTCGTTTTACGACATCGACAATATCATAATCAACTTGTTACGAGTCAATTAAATGATACATGCATGCATTTGTGTCGTCAGCCTTGTTCTTGCGTCAAAACAAAAGGTTTGCAATTAACTTAAAAAGTATAAAAGTTTGTAGAACATAATTATTGGATAAATCAATCATTTACGAAAAAGCAGTGTTTTCACATTTCATTGATTTTCTCGAAAACTATAATACGTAGAAAGAATCCAAAAGATGCATATAAAAGCTGAATGTTTGGGGAATCTAGCAAGTATTGATATATTACTGTGGTTTTATATGTTTGGCTGTAATTCACGTCCAAATTTGAAAAAATGTTCGAAAAAGCAGTGTTTTCACAATTCATTGATTTTCTCGAAAATTGTAATACATAGAATGAATCCAAAGGATGCATATTAAAGCTGAATATTTGGGGAATGTAGCAAGTATTCATATATTACTGTGGTTTTATCCGTTTGGCTGTAATTCGCGTTCAAATTTTAAAAAATGCTCGAAAAAGCAGTGTTTTCCCATTTCATTGATTTTCTCGAAAACTGTAATACATAGAATGAATCCAAAGGATGCATATTAAATCCGAATGTTTGGGGAATCTAGCAAGTATTCATATATTACTGTGGATTTATCCGTTTGCCTGTAATTCGCGTTCAAAATTTAAAAAATGCTCGAAAAAGCAGTGTTTTCACATTTCATTGATTTTCTCTAAAACTGTAATACATAGAATGAATCCAAAAGATGCATATTAAATCTGAATGTTTGGAGAATGTATCAAGTATTCATATATTACTGTGTATTTATCCGTTTGGCTGTAATTCGCGTTCCTATAAAATCAATAAAATGTGAAAACGCTGCTTTTTCGAGAAAATCTTTTTTATTTTACTACCATCAAAAAAAAAATAACAATGATCTTCATTATAAAATTCGAACACATTAATACATTTACATAAAAGTTTTACTAATTAAAATACAGAACTCGTGAAATTGCGCTTAATAAAATATGAGTGCAAATAAAGTTGTGCGCATTTTGCGGACGATTGCGTAGTTATTGCGTTTTGTGTCGTGCCGTTTTTTAACGGAAAATGCATTGTTGCTTTTTATTTTACATTTTACAATTTGCAGTTCGGCAATATATATATATATATATAAATATGGAAACAAAAAACAAAAACAAAATAGAGCGCATTCTGTGTTTTCGTTGGCAGTTTGTTCCGAAAATTAAATTCCAATCAACGTAAATGCAAATGGGCCGAAGTATGTATGCACAATGAATTATCGATCGCATCCAAATAAATATGCATTATAAATAACCGGCGAATAAATATTTTAAACTCGCCGTATATTCATATATTTATTTATGTACGAACATACGGTTTATTTGTGATCGTCCGTTGTTTTTGTTTGTTTTTTCAGTATTTTTTTCCGTCGTTGGCGCTCTTGATTCATTTCTGATGACCCAAATCGCAATTGGAAATAATCAGCATAAAACGAGCTCGATTTATCTATTAGCCAGCATATTTATGTTTGGCTCCGTTCGGCCTGTTAGCTATCACCATCATTATTGCTATTATTAGAGAGGTCCCATTAAAATGTAATTACATTTTCAAACGTGTAAATCATTTAAGAGGTAATTAAATGGGAACGTCAATAATAATAATAACAATGATGATGGTTCGTGCGTTATGTAACAGATAGAACAAGAGCGGGTTCTCGATTAATTTATTTACACTGCAGATAATTATATTTATCGCTTCGTTTCGGAGGAAATAGCTAAATATAGAATCTCATATCATCATATTCTTTATTGTAATTTCGTTGAGGCTATTTAATGTTTCTTGTACAACATCTTCTCGACTTCCTGGTGTTCTTCGTGGTAGACCTTGACGTCCTTGGTAAAGAAGTTTGGAACAAAGAATTCCTTCTCGCATTCAATTGGTCTGTCCAATGGATAACTCACTGGATAGTGAGTGTCAACCAGGCATTCAGCGTACAAATCGTTGGTAGATTGGTAGTCGGTCACCACGACGAAGAATTGGTAAGACTTGCCAGAGACGGTGCCCTTGGGGAGCATCAACCTCTGCGGGAAGTTGTAATAGACTTGAGGATGGTAGACCTTGAAGGATTCGCCTCCGTTCAAAGCTTGATCCACTTGGTTGTACAGAGTCTTGAAAGAGTATTGCTCGGTGATGAAGTTCGGGGTTTCGCGTGAGTTACGCTCGATGACGTTCTGTCCGGATTTCAAAGTGCACTTGAACCTGTCCAATTCGTAGAAGTTCATGTAGTTATGCTTCATTTGCATTTCGTGTCCGAACTCATCGTGTTTGGGGCCGATGAAAACCTTGACGAAAGCATCCACGGATTTGTCGCTGGACACGTGGATCTTGTAGTTGTACGGTTTATGGTTCAAACGGAATTGCCGAGCTTGAACATCGCAGGATTGTTCTGTAAATTCTTCCTCGTCGACGGTGAGAGCGTTGCTGATGTCGGTGCAGTGTTCATCAAAGAACGTCACCAGATGATCGACTTGGAAGTCGTCGATCTTGACGCCTTGGAAGTGGAGATGATGCCTCTCGTGTGGTCCCATATGATGTTGATGTCTGTGGAAGAAGTACATCATCTTCTTGCAGAATTGGTAGAACATCGGGTCGCGCATCGAAGTCTCGAAATGTTCCAAGACGGACGGAGCGAGAGCGTTGTGCGAGTATCCAAGAAGATGACGGGTGACCATCTGCAGGTAACCGTAGAAACGGACATTTGGAGACTCGGGTTGGCATTCCACGATCCTTCCGAGCGTATCAAAACCTTCCTCGGTATACAGGTAGACGATTTTACCTTCTGGAGTGTACACCCAACCCATGTCGATGGCATCGCGGATCCGCATTTCGTAATCTTCGACTTTGCTATGGCAGTTAATGGAATAGTGCTTAAGCGTGTGAGTTTCTTGATCTTCGTAGTCGAAGTTGAGTTGCACGTTCTTCGGCCTGGATGGGAACGGTTTACCGTTGAAGTAAGTGAGAGATGGATAGTAACCGAACTTGGTTGGTTCTGCGTACTCGACGGTTGGAATTTGACCTTTGCCGTTGGCTAAGCGTTCCAAGTAGTAACGAGCCAAGATTTGGTTGTGGTAATAGTGGAACCATTCACCGTAGTGAATATCTTCGTATTTGGAGAATTCGCGCTCCAACCAGAAAGGCGTGAAGATGTTCATGTAATAGTAATAAGCGTTAACGCCAATATCTTCAGTGAAATAGCTCAGGTATTCCTCTTCGTACTTGGTGTATTCGGCGTGAACGATGAAATCTGATTTCTTCTTCATCTCTTCCTTGTACTGCTTAGCCTTGGTGATGACTTCGCTGGTGAAGAAGTAGTGAGGGAAGATTTCGTAGATTGGTGGTAAAATAATTCCTTCGGTGTGCTTGCAGTGGAAGACAGCAACGGAAAGAGCATAGACAAACATGCCAGGATTGACGTGTTGACGAGCCCAAACAGCGCACTTGTAGAAAGTAGCGAAATCTTTAGCATAGAAGAACACCTTGAAGAGAGCGACGGCTTGCTTCAAGTGCTCCGGATGGAAGACGGAGAAGATCTCATCCTGCTTCAAGAAATCTTCCTCATTGTAGTATTGCCAGAATTGTTGAGCGTACTCGGTCTTTGTCCATTGATCCCAGTGTCCCTCGAACTTGAAAGTCTTTGCAAGTTCGATCAAATCCTTGAAGTAGGTGGGTTGGTGCACGTGTTGGAAAAGACGGAGAATCTCCCTTTGCTTCTCCAGGAAGACTTTGTCAGCTAAATAAAATAATAGAAATAAAGACAGTGTTATTTAATAGAATCTGTATTATTAACTCACCAACTTTGTATTGTTGTACCCCACTCATGCTGATGATTCTTCAGGATTTGCACTGAGTCTGCTGCAAACGTGCATCTTATATACTCCAAAAAACGTAAATAATCAAATGACCTAGTGCATCCGTATCATCTTTATCACTCACCTAAAGTTACCAAAAGCAATCAAAATCATTCGACATTGTTTAATTTTTCTTTCTACGAGACTTATTATTATTTTTCTAAGCGCATTCTTTCAGATAACACTTGTCACCAACAAAACAAAAGTGTTGAGCAATACTCATTATCTCACAAATAATTAAACTAATTAAGAAATGTAATCATTGTTTTCACTAAATATAAATCATTATTCAAATATTGTTATAAGCAACGTGCACAGTATGAATATGAAAAATTTAAATTAGCATGCCTCACAGTGTAGTGTAGATATAATAAAGGAACGAAAAAATAGTTTTCTACTGAGTGGGTTTTCGATTCAAACAATTGTTTATGGTTGCTGACTCTCCATGAATCCAAATTCATGGCACAGCCCGAACATGCATACATTTAGTTGTTTCAAGAATTTTCGTCGATTACCAATGGAATTTTTAATCTATTATAAATGGAAAAAAAAATACGATTTTTATTATATACATATTCATTTTTTTTGTAATTTTTGTATTTGGGGGAGAAATAAATTATATAAAAAAAAATTATGTGTTTTGGATGGACGCCAGACATGATCGTAATTATGATTTAAACAATTCCCCCTTTTCCCGCCGCTTCGTTGCGTAAATATTTGAGCTGGAATTTTCACGAGATTAAGACGCAAATATTTACTTATCAATTACATAAATAACGAAGCGTATTCCTTCGACTCGCTCTCGGATGTTTGTGGCTAAATATAAACTCTAGGTAGTATAATAGGCGTAAAATGCTGGTGTGGAGGTAGTAGACACACATACAAACATTTCGTGGAGTGGAATGAAGATAGAGAGAGAAAAAGAAAAAGAGTTCTTCTGTTGAAAACGAAGAGAAAATGAAGGACGCGGAGAAAAGAAAAATAAAATCACCGCCCGCACACAAAGGCAGAAAGCAAACAGACACGCATACACACTTAAAACGAAACACAATAACTCATTTATCGCGTATAAACCTATTAACACGAAACCGTACACTTTTTTTTCATACTTAAATATGAAACTGTGCAGTCGAACGCTTTTCTTTTCTATCCACTTTTCACCCCGGTTCAATGTGTAGCAAATTTATGAATAATCCATACGCACGTGTGTGCATAATGTTTCTACAGTACACGTACTTTTATCGCTTTAATTACATGTTTCACTTCAACCATAAAGTTGATGTTTTCTTCTAAACTCAAAACAGGTTTTCTTTCGCATTTAATAATGTTATTCAAAATATGTTCAAAGTGTTATAAAAGTAACGTTACCACCACTTTTTGTTTCCTTCTCGTTATGTCAATTACCATTCGACAGTTTGCAATATGAATCATCTAATTTAAGTAATAAATTGTAATTTTTGCTCGAAAAAGCAGTGTTTTTATATTTCATTGATTTACTCGAAAACTCTAATAGGTAAAATGAATCCAATATATGCATATGAAAGCTGAATTTTTGGGGAATCCAGCAAGTATAGATACATTCCTGTGCTCTTATCCATATCCATATTCAAAGTTGAAGAATTGAAATTAGAACGTTCGAAAAAGCAGTGTTTTCACATTTCATTGATTTACTTGAAAACTATAATAGATAGAATGAATCCAATATATGCATATGAAAGCTGAATGTTTGGTGAATCCAGCAAGTGTAGATACATTCTTGTGCTCTTATCCATATTGCTGTAATACGCGTTCAAAATGGAAAAAATGAAATTAGAACGTTCGAGGAAGCAGTGTTTTCACATTTCATTGATTTACTCGAAAACTATAATAGATAGAATGAATCCAATATATGCATATGAAAGCTGAATGTTTGGGGAATCCATCAAGTATAGATACATTCCTGTGCTCTTATCAATATTCCTGTAATACGTGTTCAAAGTTGAATAATTGAAATAAGAACGTTCGAAAAAGCAGTGTTTTCACATTTCATTGATTTACTCGAAAACTGAATAACTGAAATTAGAACGTAGAGAAGTTTTATTTAATCACTCGAAAACTTATAAATTTAAAATACATATTGAACATTAATTTTAAAGAATAAATTAAAGAGAACAAAATGATCTATTAGTTTTTTACCACAAATTATTTAATATTAATTTAATTCTAGTTTGCTAACTTCGAACTATTATCAAATTACCTTAACAATTCTTTAGTAATAATTAAAATTTATTGCATTCTTAAAAGAAAAAACTTGTTTTTAACGTAGCTGAAGATTATTTATTAAACTAAAACCCGTTTCGATGTTTGAAAAGTTTAAAAGTTACTTGCTCTTAAAACAAACAAATAACGCATTCTAAGTACAAAACCGTACATCGAGACATACATATATATTTTTTTTTGTTACCATTGTATTCTAAAATAATCACCTTTCGAGCAAAAGTTCATTACACTCAACAGTGGCGCGCACAAGATCTTCCATCGTCCAAAGTCGGATTAAGCATTGTCATATTTCCTCCCCCATTTGTAATATCCAATGATATTTTCATACCCCCATTTGTTTATTTAGTTCTGAAACGCTTAAAATGTCCTTAGGACCGAAACCAACCCTATGCATTACAAAAAAAAAATAATGAGAAGAGGGAATGTGAAAAACAAACATTTCCTCATTTCTTTTCTATTTCAAAAACATATTTATATAAATTAAATCTACATATCAATACATTTTTTATAAAATATTTGTAAGATTAAGTAGTGTAAATACGTAAATAATAAGCAAATATTGGAATTTGGTGCTTAGGTAATTTAAGCAGTGTTAGGATTTGTTAAAAAGTTTATCTCGTCAAACAAGAAGTTCTTTACTCGTTTCATTATTAACTCTTATTTCTTCATTGTTGAAGATACTTATGCACGTCTTGAATCAATTACTACTTGTAACATAAGTAAGCAATATTTTTTGTTAAAGATAGAAGAACCAAAAAAAAAAACACTCTTAGAGTCAATTGAATAATGACATTGAAAACATCGTTTGTAAAACGCCCACCAAATGAATTAAGTTTTTGGTTACAAAACACACTTAAGCATACTTAAGAGCGAGCATTCAATTAATCAGCAAGAGTTTTAGTAGCTTCAATATATCAATAAAAAAAATGCATTTCAGGTCATTAGTTGCAAGATATTATTAATTGCTTATCAACGATAAATAACATCTGTTCGAGAATGCATTTGTGGAAATTACCAACACTTTTCTCCTATCGAATAGAGATTTCATGAATTAGTATGCTTGCTCCTCGTAATTACTTATTTATTTTTCTTCTTCTTTGTAATTAATTATTATCATCATCATTAAAGGCATAATTCTGTAAATGAAAAAGCAAACCACATTAAAGAACACGAAACGAAGTGACCTCTGTCTCTAATAAAACACAACCATCATCATCTTTCGCGGTTTTGGAAACACTTCCGCGAAGTTTTCCGAGAATTCGAAGCGAAGGAAAGGAAACATCGCGAATGGTGAGCATAAAATATTTAATGTCTGGTCGTAATCCTGTTCGTCTTTGCAACACGCTATTTCCTCGCTGGACGGAGACTCAAGGATATTTAGCATCTGCCGACGTCCGTAATTGCGTAATAACCGTGATTTTTTTCCATCTTCTGTTCCTCCTCCATCTCCTGTTTCACATCCAAAGACAATGGAATTCGCGCGTACAAATGCGCGTTCGTTAAATGAATAATTACATCTTTCACAAAAGTAAATAGGATTGTTAAACAAATCCATATATTTTAATGTACGAATAAGAATATATGGATATGCAGTTTTCTTGTAATTTTAACACAAAGCTAATGAAATTCAAGATAATTTGTAAAAAAGTTAACACGATTTAAAAAATTAAAAGTGTTCGTTAAATTATATTTGCACGTTTCACAGAAGCAAATAGAATTATTAAAAGAATGCTAATAAATAATTTTAATGTACGGAAATTCATTTTTAATCTTCGTTTGCGGTTTTTGATGTAATTTCAATGTTTGCATTCTTTCTACGAAAATTCCAAAGAATGCGTTAAATTAAAATTTTCATTTATAATTTGCATCTTTCATTAACTTTAAACTAATGCAAAAAAAAATCAATACAAATGCGATATGTGCGATTAGAGAAAAATTGTAAATATTAAAATCAATCGAGAATTTGTTTGCTTCTATTTATTTATTTAGTTTTTTCTTTTGCGTACGCTTTTCCTTCGTATTTTTCACATAAACTTGTCAGGATGTAGTCCACATTCTAATCGATTAAACTCAGTCACCAGACCATATTGCTAACGAGTAATTGACCCTAAAGCAGTACAGTTAACTTAAACCTGCAACCATAAACAGTAAGAAAATTGTTGCCCGAGTAAATACAGTCGGTGAAACTAAATGACGAGCAGTAAACGCTCTTATCGTATCTCGCTCTAATTACCTTTATAAATGAAAAATAAGACTGTTTTTAACATTCACTGTTTCACTTATCGATTTACAAAGAAAATTTACATAAATTATCGTACTTTTCAGAAGATAATTAAAGAGAAAAATCGATTTAGAATTGACTAAAGTCTGTTTAAAGATAGTCCCATAACTTACAATAGGGCTACTAATGGTTAACCCGCGTGCCTTTGGTCACAGGTTCGAATCCTGGTCAAGCCAGGCCCTTTGTGAGCCCTCTTATATAATACGATTATTCCCGTAGCGATGATGTGCTTCCCCAGAATATATGCTTCTTTGAGATGTAGATGAGCAGGATATTGAGCAGAACAAAGAATCGAAGAACCGGAAAATAATGATTGTGAAGACGATGAACCAAAAGAATTTGCTACAGATTTTCATACAAATAGTTTAGATACGATAATCATTGCAGCGAATCATCAAAATTTTGTCAGGAGTACAAAAGCTACGAAAATGATGTCTTTGTCTTCAAAAACGCATTTAAAGCAATGTCTTACTGTACATATATTGTACACATTTTCTAAATTTTGGTACATCTATACTAATATAAATTAAGTAATAAATACTACAAATATAATAT